AGTTAATAACAGGAGAGGTCTTTCGATAGGTGATAAGACTATAGCAGTAATAAGATTAGCGATCCATTAAAGGTTAAGGGCTATAGATATAAGGTTAACGAACTTAGCCTCTATAGTGCTAAGAGCTATAAACGGCTGCTTCTTAGATTTCCACAGAATAGGTCCTCCTACTAGAAACACCATATAGCCACCTATTAACATTCTTCCCACTATATCTACATAGGCGGTATCTACGGCTATATACAGACCTCGCGATAGGCGATTCCTCACGTTATCGCCTCTATACATAATACGGTATCCTGTTATGCCCTTAACGTAACGCTATAGGTGCTTTAACGCTACTTAGTGCGCTGCTATAGGTCTGGAATTTACCTCGTAAAGCTTGGATACCGCGAAGATGATATCGGGACATATACCACAAGTAAGATAATTTAAACTGCCCGTTTATTAGAGATACTCCTGTTTAGTCTGCTTATTATAAGCCTCTGGATCTACTAAGATACTGGGTTTAAAGCTATTAGGTAGTGGCGTTAGAACTGCGTTACAGTCTTATATTTTAAACCTTTCTAAGATCTTATTAGCATACTATTATTAGTCGATAGTGATTATCTTTACAGATCTATTTCTTATAATTTTAAAGCCTAAAAACCGCTTCACCTCTCCTAGGTCCTTAAGGGTATATACCTCCGATAATGCCTCGCGGACTCTTATAATAGCGTCCTTAATTAGGGCTGCCACGCAGACGTTATTAACGTAGATAAGGATAATAACCTTAGTGATTTCATTCATTAGAATACACCTATCGCTATTAAGAGGTTGGAATCCGAGAGCCTCTATATATCTGGCGATATAACGAAACCACTATAATAGGGCTTCTTCTATACTATATAATGCCTTCTTCAAGAGGCAGACCTTTCCGTGGACCATAGGGAGGCCTTTAGGTTAATTAACGTACACTTTAATGCCAGGCGGTGCGTTAGCGGCGAGGAAGGCTATATCAAAATCGAAGCTCTCGCATTCAAGGTCTTCCATCGCAACGACTACGAGGAACATCCTAAGTAAGGCCATCTACACCACCGCTACGTATAGGTCTTAAGCTAACTAGTCGCCAGCTTATTAATTTCTATAAACTACCTATTAAGCTCTATACCTAATAAGGTTACCTTTCTCGTCGTACTTATCGTTATAGACCTATTTCCCTAGAAGGACTCTAACGCCTTAGGGTCTATTAATAAGCTTCCACACTTAGCGTTTGTTTAGAGTCTTTAGCTATTATTCTATAGCTGGCTTATAGGTTATAGTGAAGTCCTCGCGACTAGCAGCCTCTTTATAGGTCTTAGACGTTTATGCACCGCTCTCGACTATCTAGGAGACTTCTTCTATCGCAAAGCAGATAACTAACACCTCTCTTTAATTAAGGGAATCCGGGGATATTAACTATATAACTTCGTTAACTATCTTTAACGGCTCCCCCATAAAGGGACTATCCCGTAATACTTCCTACTACTAATAGCTATCTTATAAGGTTTATTAAGGCTATTAAATAACCTTAACGATATCCATAATCATCTTATCTGGATACGTATCTGCGTCGACCAGTACTACTTTGTAATCTGGCTCTAACCCTTAAGATAGATCTTCTTAACTATTCTCCGCGAATTTAACGTCTGTAACTCAAAGCACGCGGTCCAGTTCAGGCACCTAAACACTATAGATATAGCTATAGATAGAGTCGTATCCAATTAGCTTACCCTTCTAGGCCCTTAGTGTAATCTTATTAGCTTTAGGCGGCTTAAAGCTGCCCTTTTTATGGATATAGACTATATAACCGTAGGTTCTAAGGTGCTAAATATATAGCTCCCGCTACTCTTTTAGGCAGTTAAGGGCTCTCATAAGCTTTTTATAAGGACGAAGGCCTAGATAGACTCCGCCATCAGAGAGCAGAAGGTTAAGTATTTCCGCTAAGGTCTTAAGGGTATACGCCTAGATCTATTCTAGTATTTTACTATTAATTAGGAGGGTGCGGGTTATCTCTATAAGAACCCCGCCAGCCCTCTCTCCTCTACTATTTTAGGCTAGAGTATAAGCTACCGTGAAAAGGATCATAATGCTATCCTTCTTTAGTTCGTGGCGTAGCTCGTCGTTATCGAATTCTCCTCTGTTATCGCTATAAAATCCCCGAATTTACAGGCCAGTTTAGCGCTCCTATATAGCTTTCAAAGCTTTGATTTCGGCAGCCACTATCTTACCCTTTTTATCTCTTAACCACCTAAGATAATAGTACCCCGAGTGCTGTTCAACCCAGTGAATAATATACTTATATCCCCTATAAGCGGCAGGCTTAACTTTAATAAGGTCTATATTAAAGTCTCCAGGTATCAAGGGTACGGCTGATTTAATCCTTAAGGGTTATTTCTTTAATTTAGCTAGGTGATAGGCCTTATAGTGGAATGCCTCTACTTAGGCGGTATCGAATTAGATTCCTATAGTTTTACAGGCTTTAATAATCTTAGACTTGCCGACGTGGCTAAGTCTCTTATACCACGTTATAAAGTCGGCTTTTAAGTGCTTTATACTAATAGCTACGTAGGCTAGGGCGTTTTCTATTTCGTAATCTCCGTTATTATCCACTTAGACTATAGCTATATCCTTCTTCTAGTTAACCCTGGCTAGATGCTGCCCTATCTTCTTTATATAAAGGACTTCCTATTCGTCACTATAGCTAGTATCTTAGCTACGAAGATATCCGGAAGACACAAGGTTCACCGGGGCTCCAGGATAATACTAAACCTAATCTATAGTCTATTCATGGCTTTCATTAGTAGAATCCTTAGTTCTAAAGAAGATGGAACCCGTTCTATAGGGTCTTAAGATGCTATCGTCTACAGTCTTTTTATATAGTAGGTCATTCCTTAGTATATAGTCTTTAAACTATTTAAGATCGTTAAAAGTACTAACCTAACAGCCTGAGTCCCAGACGATATCATTATGGGTTACCGCGGAGGATTAGACTACTACCACGAGGAGGGCGGCGTAAAGGGACTACTAATTAAACGCAGAACCTTTAGATTTAACCTTAACGCCTCCGGTATCCTTAGATTTATTAGTAGAACCGGTAATAGATATAGAGAGCTTATCGTCGTCTCTTCTATACCTAGGGACCTTACCCGTTTTCTTCTACTCGTCGTGTTTCTTTTAGAAGATATATCGTAGTTTTTCTAGTATATCTTTAGGATATACCACGAAGCACTTACTTATCCAATAGTGGCCTTTGCAGATTTTATATAGAGGGTGATCGTTATTCTTCTTATTATTATTAGACTAGTTAGTAGACTATAAGGATTAGGACTTAACTACGACGTTAACAGAGGATATCTTAAAATCCTCAGCTCTAGCCTTTAGTTAAGGGTCATCGATAAGGTTCCGCTAGCTAACAGTCTTCTTACTAAGGTAACGTTCTGCAAGGGCTAGGTATTTACCCTCGATAGCCGTTATAACTATATAAACGTCCTTTTTATCGTTAGCCGAGCTAATCTAGTTATCTAACTACTTCTTAATAGCGTATATCCTTTACAGATACTAGGAGGTTAACTTAAAGTCTTTCACCTTTATAGTGTTCTATTTCTTAACGAGGGATTTAGTGGCCTTTTCCGAGACTCGTAGAGCTATTTCCTTAACTGCTTAAAGTAGTTAGTATAAATCTATATCCTCCTTATTCTATATAGAGCCTTCTAGTCGTAGCTTAACAGGCTTAATTACAGTTAGCAGTGCGCTATATACTATTACTCGCTATTAGTTTATAGCTTTATCGTGAAAGTGACCTTAAGGGTAGTTAAAAACAGTCAGCAGATCGTGGCTAGCTAATTATGCCTTCACCTTATATTCCTAATCCTTATAATCGGAGTTATCTTTAAGAATAGGAAACTTAATCTACGTAGGCTATATCCTAAAGCTATTTATCAGACTATTGATAAAGTCCTATGGATTAACCACCTACTATTATTACTATGGATAATCTTCTTCTAGTATAGGGGGGTTAGTAAAGGTAGTGCGTTAACCTATCTCGGGAGCACCGAGAAAAGGGCCGAGCGACTACCTAAGGGTATCTCTAACGTTATCGGGGATCTATTATTAGTTATTTCTAAGGGCATAGATAAGATTTTCTAGTTAATCCAGGCCGCTTTTTATATCTTCCTCGCTTATAATCTCTATCTCTTTTCCTTTTTACTAGGAAGTTTATTACTATTAAGCTATCTCGGCTTCGATCTCGTCTTAAAGGTTAGTCTCGTCATAGATTAATTCTTCTTCGGGAACTATATCGAGAGACTCCCGCGCCCTTAAGGGGCTAGGCTAGGAATTCGGCGTCTCTCTCGCTATTATAGAACGCGTTATGGGTTTTAACGCGGCTTATCTAGTAACCTAGGTCGATATTAATAGATTTATGATATCCTGCAATTAGGAGGGTATACGAAAAAATATAATTAATCCTCTCTTCGGTTAACTATTAATGGTATTTTCCCTGCGGAAATTTGGGGCTTATAACCTATGATACTAAAACGGATATATTATGTGTGTAAGAGGAAGCTATCTATAGTAGGTTCCTCGGCTAAAAGCCTCGAGCTTTAGCTACCTGAATACGGCGATCTGATTAGTCCGCCGTGAAGCACGGACTACCGCCGTAACACGCCCTACCCCTACACTTCATTAAATCCTCCCTTTAGGAAAAACCTTACGGAAAAAACCCAAGGGCCTAGGTAGCCCCCCGTACCTTTCTTCCCCCCTTTATAATAACCCTATACCGGTGGTAGCTTAGTAACGAATCCCCTTCCTTTAGGCTATTCTGCTGTCTTAATAAGGATAGGTGCCTAGGCTATCGGTTATCTACTTAGTAGGGGTTTAGGGGCCACTACTAGCCCCCTTTGCCTGAGGTACGTACCTATCCGAAAATAGGGTTGGGGGGGGGCAGGATTCGAACCTACGACCTCTTAGGGATTAAGAGGCTAGTCCAGGTGGTATACCACTCCACTATCCCCCCGAATAGAAGAGGTATTACTGTGTGGAAGAAGTCAGCTTTTCGTTATAATATCGTGGAAGGGAATCTGCCTACCTGTTATTATGGAAGAGGCCTATTGTTATGGAAGAGGTCTGTTATTGTGGAAGAGGCATTACTATATGGAAGAAGTCAGCTTTTCGTTACGATATCGTGGAAGGGAATCTGCTTACCTGTTGTTATGGAAAAGGCACTACTGTGTGGAAGAAGTCAGCTTTTCGTCACGATATCGTGGAAGGGAATCTGCCTACCTGTTGTTATTGTTATTGTTGTTATTGTTGTTGTTGTTGTTGTTGTTGTTGTTGTTGTTGTTGTTGTTGTTGTTGTTGTTGTTGTTGTTGTTGTTGTTGTTGTTATAGGAGGGCTGTTATTATAGGAGGGCTATTATTATAGGAGGGCTTTGTGTGGAAAAGGAAGAAGAAGATCTTAAAGCTATAGAAAAGAAGAAGATCCTAATAATCGTAGAGTTACACGGCAGAATAAGTATACCGCCTATTATATAACCTACCTACCTACCTACCTGCCTCCTAAAGATATCGTGGAATCGTGGAAGGACCTACGGTTGGATATATATATAGGTATATTATCTAGGTGTATTACTCCTTATATTTTACTAGGGGCTAGATATTTCTACAAAGTATATATATATAATCCACTATCTAGAGTATTATACTATTAGCTTGATTATACTAATAGGAAGGATTAGTAAGGTCGGTACTAGTTAGTTATTTAGTAGACCTATAATAACTAATAAGATACCCTAACCTCTATTATAGTATACCTTTTCAGGTTATTATTTCTTCCTAGTTACTATATACTTTACTGCTTAGACTAAACGCCCTAATATACCTGACCCTTTTGATATACTACGAACCTTTGTTAGTAAGCACCCTGTTTATGATATCAATAGCATAACCACATAATAACCACCTACCCTATTATATCCACGGTGGTCATTATAAGACTAGACTTTCCATACACCCCCCTCCCGCGTAGGTACCTTACCTTAGGTAGTATCTGAGCAAGGTACGGAACTCTGTACCTACGTTACCCCGCCGTAACAAAACTACGAGACCACACTCTAGTGACCGGATTTTCTACCCGCCGGTCTACAGCCTACTCAGTACGGATACAGCCCAACTCCTGTCATACTACGTACACGTTTTACAGCCACCCGTTAAACATCCAGAGCGTTAAAGCTGAAGCAACAACCTGCGGAGTACCTAAAGTACCTACTGAACTATTCTTGGGAGGTATAGGGGCCAAGTCGACTTTCATGTAGCTTCACCAGCACAGCACGGAAACCTCGTTCCCATATAGCCTTCTTCTCTCCGACTCTACCCCGTCCCGAGAATCCTCGCCCCTAATGCTTCGAGGCTACCCTCGCGAGAGCTGTCAAAATGTCTGAACCTGTGGTCAATGGCTCCAGCTCTGGCCCCCCCGAACTCGATTTGCGTGTCACACAGGCTGCGTTGGCATCTTCGTCGACTTCCAGCAGAATCTCCTGCTTGCGCCTCTTGGATGAAAGGATCTGCCAAAAGGGTATTATTGTTGCCCAAGAGTCTCACAATTTATTACTCGATGCGGACACTGACCACTCTCTATTCGGCAGAAATCAACCCGTCCCTCACTCCCAAGCTTCTCCAGCTGCTTTTCCATACTCATGACCTCTACGTCGACCGTCAGTCAAGACTCGCCGTACAAAAATGTCTACTCTCTTTGATATACGGCGGCCTCGAGTCCGAATCCCTTCGTCGCTTCGTCGCCATATTGAATGCCGAGTCGCAGAAGCCCGGAATCGCGCCAGGTAGTGCATTCGCCCTCGTCGAGTGGTGTAGCATTCTCATCCAGGGCCTCGCCGGATCCCCCACCTGGCGCACCTTGTCATCCGACGTACTGCTTGCGAACGCAGATGCCCTGGAAAAGTGCGTCCGATCGCGTTCGAAGAGCAGCATCGCCCGTTCCGCCATTACACTTACTAGGAGAGCGTTCCGCAAACTGCTATCGGACCGGGATTTGGATGCGCTCTCAGACACCATCCGTGACGCTGTCCAACTTCTCACAGCCAAGGGTTCCCAACCGACCGCCAAGAATGCCATCCTTCTCGGAGTCTTAGCTGGTGTTGCCTCGCGGAAACCGGCTGCCAAACCAATCTTGCAGGACTTGACAAGTTCGTACCTCAGCTTCTACACGAGGGAGATTGTTGGGTCCCGGTCAGCCGTTCCGGAACACGTGGCCTCTGGGTTGGCTGATTTCTTCCACGACTTTATCACCCTCGAACAGTTCGCCAAGGAGGTCGTCCCGCCCTTGGAAAAGGGACTGCTTCGAGCCCCTGAGGTTTTGCTCGGCAGCGTCATCACTCCCTTAATCCGCTCTCTCCCCGAAAGTTATGATCTCTCCCAGCTTCTGAGTGGCCATCTCCTGAAGCCACTTCTATCTCAAGTCAAGTCGAGCAATGCGGCTATCCGGACAGGCGCCGTCAATGCCTTTTCCCTCATGGTTTCTCGCAGTCACCAGACCGAAGCCGTCGACGCAATCTTGGATGAGATATTATTGCCCCTCAAGGGCGGGAAATTACCTTCCGCAGATCACAGGATTCTTCATTGCGAGATGCTACAGGCCCTCCCACTGTCCGGGGCCGTTGCTGAGAAGATCGTCACCGCGCTGGCTGCCGTTACAGCCAAGGAAGGAAGCGAGGCTGCCGTTGGATCCGAGACTTCAGCCCTCGCTAGCTCGTGCGCCTTCCTCCTCGCGGCAGATGTTAAGCTAGGTAAGCCTGTGGCCGATGCCTTCATTAAAGGCTTGTCGGATAAGAAGCTCGCACATCGCCGTTTCTGGATACTGCGCACTGGACAAGTCCTGGACACCACCCGGACCGGAAACGTACCACCTGCACTATCCGAGTTCGCAGAGGCCGTTCTCCCAAAGCTCATCGACACGTACCATGAAGTGGTTGCCAACTCTACTCTGGCAGCCCAGAACAACATCACCATCGGCGCGTACGTTGTCGTGGCTCTTGCACCATCGTACCAGAACGGCGCCTCGGATAAAGTCAAGACCGCGTTGGCCAGCTTGTCGATTCCGCAACAATGCCTCACGTTGGACCCTAAGCCCTCCTTTCTCTTAAATCCTCGCGTCTTCGGCAAACTGGCCGCGGAGGAGGATTTCTCTTGGATGTGCAGGGCCGTCAGGTCCGTGGCCCCATTCATTCTTGCTTCGACGCCAAACCCCATCCGGGTTGCCTGGGCGGAGGCGTTCATGTACTTGATCTGCTCCTCCGTCGTTACGCCTCAATTTCGACAGCGGGCCTGGAGGAGCCTTTCCAATGCCTATGTGTCTAGTCCCGTCGGCGTTTCCGAGGCTGTGATCGATGCTTCGTGGCACTGGCTTGCCGCGGTCGAGACTGGCGAAAAGGACACGGCTGCCGCAGTTGCGAAGACGGGAGACCGCCACATCCACCTGGTGCTAAGAGCCATCTGCTTGACGCCAAAAGAGTGGGCCGAGGAAGGTCAAACTCTTGACGACGAGCAGCTGGAGCGCCAGCTATGCGCATTGCTCGTTCTCGCTCGGCCGGATCTGGTTCCACGCGCCAGTTGGATAGATTTCTGCTTGCGGACTGAAAAGGACCCAGGGAAGCTCGCCGGCAAGTACGGAGATGCGCTCATCGACGAGATACTCGGCAAAACCACCGTCCAGCAAACCTCAGACCCGGTGAGAAGAGCAGCATATAACGCAGCTGCCGAACTGGCGTTTATTGCCCCCGAGGAAATGACACCCAGAGTCGTCAAGGTTATCCAGCACGACCTAGCAACGGAGGGATTCGAAAATATAGGCCCTCTAGAGGCCGCGATTTCCCGCACGCCGGAAGGGACCACATTTGTAGACGTCCTTTCGAAGAAATCGCAGAACGCCCTTCCCGACAAGAATGACAAAGACTACGACATCCTGAAATGGGAAGCCGAATTGAGAACCCAGCTGGCAGAGAAGAAGGGCCAGCAGAAGAAGCTTACCGCAGACGAGAAGGCCAAAGTCAACGCCCAGCTCAAGAAAGAAGCAGGGATTCGCCAATCGGTGCGATGGATAGAAGCTAGACTTCTTCGAGGCTTTGGCATTATCCGAAGCCTGGCAACTGGGCCCCCGACTGAGGCCGTCCTGTGGACTGGCCCTGTCGTCAGAGCCCTCCTTGACGTTATAGACGCAGGCTCCAGTCTTCTTACGGGAAATGAGGCGGCCGTTGCCTTCCTCACTTGCTCCGAGAGACTATCCCATCGCCTCGGGCCTATGCGGCCCTTCGTGGGCGCGGCTGCACTTCGTGCCCGGGGTGTCACCGCCCTACCCGAATCATATCAAGAAGAGCCCGTTGGGGATTTGGTAGCCAGGGTGCTATACCGTCTGCGCTTTGCGGCGGAGCAGCGGCCCTTCGACACCGTTTCGCTCATCTACATCCTGCCGCTCATCTTTGCCGTGCTTGACACAGGTGGCCTCGGTTCGACTACAGACGATCGGGACACGCAGTTAGTCCTGGTATTCGAGTTCCTCGGCTTTCATACCCATGGTCTCGCGGACGAATCGACACCGAGAGCTGAAGTCTTGTCTGTTTTGATTTCGTCCATGCAACAGTACACGCAACTTTTCAAGGTCATTAAAGACTGCTTCACCGATGCATGTCGATGCATAGCCCCCAATATTTCTCATGCTGAGGTTGGCGTCCTGGCTCGAGGCTGTCTCGTACCCCAAGTCCCCGTAAGGACCGCTGTACTCCAGTCCATCTGCGCAGATGTCGATATGAGCGAGGGAATATTTTCGGCCGAGATTTGGCTTGCTTGCCACGACGATGTGCCGGACAATGCCGAGCTTGCCCGCGAGATCTGGGAGGAGGGCTTTGAGATTGCCGAAGACCTTGGTTTTCAAATGCTGCCCTATCTATCCAGCAAGGATCCACAGCTGCGGCGGGCTGCGGCGCGGTCAGTGGCTGAAGCCTGCGACACTCATCGTTCCGCCATTGACCTTATGATCACAAAGCTGAAAGACATCTATGCCGAGCTCGCCAAACCTGCTGTGCAGCTGCTGGATGAGTATGGAATGTTCAAGAAGATGGATCTTTCTGACCCGTGGTATGGACGCCATGGCGTAGGGTCGGCTTTTAAGGAGCTCGCGCCTTTGTTGGCAAAGGAACAACTCGCCACATTCTTCGATTTCTTGATCGCCGGAGGTCCGCTCGGCGACCAAAACGCATCCGTACGCGAAGCCATGCTCAGCGCAGCAATAGAGGCCATCGACGTGCACGGTAAGATCATCGTGGACCGGCTGATGGAGGTTTTCGAGAAGACGCTGGAGAGCCCAAGTCGAGACACCGAAGCCTCCGACAGAGTTAATGAAGCCGTGGTCATCATGTACGGCGCTCTGGGTAAACATCTCGAGAAGGGCGATTCGAAGATCCCCGTGGTCATTCAACGACTGCTGGCCACCTTGAGCACGCCATCTGAAACTGTTCAGTACGCGATTGCTGAATGCCTCCCTCCACTGATCAAATCACGGGGCGACCAGGCTTCCCAGTACTTCCAGCAGGTCCTTGAGACTCTGCTCACTTCCAAGAAGTACCCTGAGCAAAGAGGAGCGGCATACGGACTAGCCGGCTTAGTACGGGGACGCGGTATATCGTCTCTCAAGGACTACCGCATCTTGACGACGATCAAGGGGGCCATAGAGAACAAGAAGGATGCGAACCAACGAGAATCTGGGCTGATGGCATATGAACTCCTCTCGTCTCTTCTCGGTCGAATCTTCGAGCCCTACGTCATTCAGATCGTTCCTCAGCTGCTTACGGGTTTCGGCGACGGCAATGCAAATGTTCGAGAAGCGTGCCTTGCTGCCGCCAAGTCCTGCTTTGCCACGCTGAGCTCGTATGGTGTCAAGCAAATCCTCCCAACGCTGCTTAGCGGTCTTGACGACCAGCAGTGGCGGAGCAAAAAGGGTGCCTGCGACCTCCTGGGTGCCATGGCTTACCTTGACCCCCAGCAGTTGGCCCTAAGCCTTCCGGACATTATCCCTCCCCTGACCGCGGTGCTCAACGATAGTCACAAGGAAGTTCGAGCCGCAGGCAACAAGAGCTTGAAGCGATTCGGCGAAGTCATCAATAACCCAGAAGTCAAGGGCCTGGTCGACATTCTCTTGAAGGCTCTGAGCGACCCTACCAAGTACACCGACGATGCCCTTGACTCTCTGATCAAAGTCCAGTTCGTTCATTATCTCGATGCACCATCTCTTGCACTTGTTACTCGCATTCTACAGCGCGGTCTGGGGGAAAGGTCCAACACGAAGCGCAAGGCTGCCCAGGTCATTGGCAGTCTAGCCCACTTGACCGAGAGGAAAGACCTGATTGCCCATCTTCCGGTCCTTGTGGCCGGACTGAAGCTTGCCATCGTCGACCCAGTTCCGACAACACGAGCAACGGCGTCCAGAGCTCTCGGTTCACTCGTGGAGAAGTTGGGAGAGGAATCGTTGCCTGACCTGATTCCCGGTCTGATGCAGACACTCAGAGAGGACACGGGAGCGGGAGACCGTCTAGGGTCGGCTCAGGCACTCAGCGAGGTCCTCGCCGGTCTTGGGACGACCAGATTGGAAGAGACACTGCCCACAATACTGCAGAATGTCGAGTCGCCCAAGCCCAGCGTTCGGGAGGGCTTCATGTCGCTTTTCATATTCCTTCCCGTATGCTTTGGCAACAGCTTTGCCAGCTACCTCGGACGAATCATCCCCCCTATTCTATCAGGTCTCGCCGATGACGTCGAATCGATCCGTGAGACAGCGCTTCGTGCTGGCCGTCTGCTCGTCAAGAACTTTGCAATGAGGGCCGTGGATCTATTGCTGCCGGAGCTTGAACGAGGCCTGGCCGATGACAGCTACCGCATCCGCCTCAGCTCTGTCGAGCTTGTCGGCGATCTGCTCTTCAATCTCACCGGAATCAGCGGAAACGCGGAGCCTGAAGACGAGGAGGAGATGGCCAAGGAAGCTGGCGCATCGCTTCGTGAGGTGCTTGGGGATGACAAGCGTAACAGAATCCTCTCCGCCCTTTATGTTTGCCGGTGCGATACCGCGGGCGCCGTTCGCTCCGCCGCCATCAGCGTGTGGAAGGCCCTCGTCTCCAGTCCCCGCACGCTCAAGGAGCTCGTGCCTACCCTTACGCAGCTACTCATTCGTCGGCTTGGCAGCTCGAATATGGAGCACAAGGTCATCGCCAGCAACGCCCTTGGAGAGCTGATCCGCAAAGCTGGGGATGGTGTCTTATCGACCCTCCTGCCGACGTTGGAGGATGGCCTTCAGACCTCGACAGATACGGATTCCAAGCAAGGCATCTGTCTCGCACTCAAAGAGCTCATTTCATCTGCGTCCGAGGAAGCGTTGGAAGATCACGAGAAGACTCTCATATCCGTCGTTCGGACCGCGCTAATCGACTCCGACGCCGGTGTGCGTGAAGCCGCCGCTGAAGCTTTCGATTCATTACAGCAAATCCTCGGCAAGAAGGCTGTGGATCAGGTGCTGCCGTATCTCCTCAACCTGCTGCGTTCCGAAGACAAGGCCGACAACGCGTTGCATGCCCTCCTCACTCTCCTGACGGAAACTACCCGCTCAAACGTCATTCTACCCAACCTGATCCCTACTCTCATCACCCCTCCTATCACTTCATTTGATGCCAAGGCTCTCGCTTCCCTGTCGAAGGTCGCTGGAGCTGCCATGAACAGACGACTGCCCAACATTATCAACTCCCTCCTTGATAATATTATCAACTGTGAGGACGAGACTTTGAGAAGGGAGCTTGAGGACTCGTTCGACACAGTCGTGCTCTCGATTGACGAGTATGACGGACTCAATACCACGATGAACGTGCTGCTCCAGCTCACCAGGCACGAAGACCACAAGCGGCGGGCAACCGTTGGTCAACGTCTGGCAAAGTTCTTCGCCGCTGGCGAGGTAGATTATTCCAGATACAATCCGGACATTGTTCGGTCTCTTCTTCTGTCATTCGATGATCGAGACTTGGATGTTGTGAAGTCTTCGTGGTCCGCTCTGAGCGAGTTCACAAAGAAGCTGAAGAAGGAAGAGATGGAGGCCCTCGTGCCGTCCACTCGTCAGGCACTGCAGCAAGTCGGGATCCCAGGAACGAATCTACAGGGCTTCGAACTTCCCAAGGGCATCAACGCCATTTTGCCAATCTTCTTGCAGGGGTTGATGAACGGCACTCCAGAGCAGCGAACCCAAGCTGCGTTGGCCATATCTGACATTGTCGACCGAACGAGCGAGCAATCCCTCAAGCCGTTTGTTACTCAGATCACCGGTCCGCTCATCCGCGTGGTGTCAGAACGATCCACCGAAGTCAAATCTGCTATCCTGCTTACTCTCAACAACCTGCTTGAGAAGATGCCCATCGCCTTGAAACCTTTCCTGCCCCAGCTGCAACGCACGTTCGCGAAATCCCTTGCCGACACGACGAGTGAACTGCTTCGAGCCAGGGCAGCCAAGGCACTGGGCACCCTCATCAAGTACACACCGCGCATCGACCCGCTCATTGCGGAGCTTGTGACCGGTTGCAAGACGTCTGATCAGGGGGTCAAGAAGGCTATGCTCAGTGCATTGTACGAGGTCATCAGCAAGGCAGGCGCCAATATGGCAGAAACATCCCGTACGGCTGTATTGGGGATTATTGATCTGGATACGCACGAGAACGATACTGCCATGACAGCCACGAACGCCAAGTTGTTGGGAGCCTTGATCAAGAATGTGCCCGAGGAATCAGCTACCGCACTCTTGAAGAGTCGAGTCGTCACAAGCCACATCAGCAGCTCGTCTGTTCTCGCCCTCAACGCCGTCCTAGTAGAATCACCGGAGAGCTTGTTAGGGAGTCCCCTGGCCGAGGAGCTACCAGACCTGCTCTGCCAGGGAATGTCAAGCAAGAATGTGAGTCGTGTCCCTACAGCAAAAATCTCGCCAGGCACGGTGTGAATAGCGCACTAATAATTTCCCTTTCATTTAACAGACCTTCATCGTGGACAATTGCATTCTCGGCACAGCAAAATACCTTCTGTCGGATTTCCCCAAGTCGTTCGAGTCGAGCAGAAAGATCTTCGAAATGATCGCTAGCATTATCCAGCCAGGCCAGCCCACCGACTCGCGACGTCTAGCCCTCGTCGTGGTCCGAACCATGAGCCGGGTCAAAGCGGACATGGTTCGACCACACCTACAAATACTCGCACCTCCCGTATTTGCTAGCGTCCGCGACCTGGTAATCCCAGTGAAGCTTGCTGCCGAAGCTGCGTTTGTCAGTCTGTTCAATGTCGCAGACGAGGAAAGCAAGGTGTTTGATAAGTTCATCGAAGGAGCGGACCTGCCACCGAACACGAAGAGGAGCATGCAGGACTATTTCAAGCGGGTAGCGTTGAGGTTAGGAGCACAGGCACGGGAGAGAAGGGACGCGGAGGGTGGACAGGGTAGCTTGGGTCTGTCCAATGACGAGGTTGAAGACGAAAAAGAGATATGGAGTGTTGGTAAGGTGGAGACTGGAGATGACATTTTTGCTGAGTGAAGGACGATCACTTTGGTCTGGGATTAAAAAGCGGCTTTTCAAGCGACGTCGGTCAAGCCAGCCAAGGTACCTAGGTAGGCGCCTCCCTGCCTGGGCTAGATATATACAAGTGAATAACTTTGGTATGCACCTGCTATGATACAACACTTGGGATAGCACCAGGTGAGGCGAGGGATTCGAGCCCAATTAGTAAGGCAAGTTGGCTCCAAAAAAATCCTGACTCATCGGCCGTTGTTCATGTCGTCAAGAGTCGTCAGAGGGCGGCGAAAAACGGTACCAATTGTCACGTGATATCTCGCTTAGAAGCAAATCAGGTTTAGCCTCTCCCAACCCACAAACCCGATCTTGTTCCAACTGACATTGCGAAAATTCGAGACTCCATCCCCTCTCCCAGCTTTCCATCAACTCGCAAAGCCGGAACGACCATCGATCAGGTTATCTTTCAAGATGTAAGTTGAAGTGCTGGTTCCTCTTGAAGACTCTAGGTTATTATTGTCCCTTTTCGAGTGCATGTTCCATTCGACGAGCCCTCTTGAATCGGTCTGTCGAATTCGATCTCGGACGTTACCCTCGAAATGCGATCTGAGAAATGTCAGCACTTCGCCAGCGGCCATCCACAACAGACACGCCCGGGCTTCGCACATTTGGATTTTTTTTTTCATCGACAAGTGGCGCACAGACTGACATGTTGCCTTCTACTGCAGGGTCAACCTCCGAACTCAGAAGCGCTTGGCCGCGTCGGTCATCGGCTGCGGCGAGCGGAAAATCTGGCTCGACCCCAACGAGGTTAACGAAATCAGCAATGCCAACTCCCGCCAGACCATCCGAAAACTCGTGTCCGATGGCCTCATCATCCGCAAGCCGGTCACAATGCATTCCAGGTCCAGGGCCCGGGAGTTGAACCTTGCCCGGCGGATCGGTCGTCACCGCGGTTTCGGCAAGCGGAAGGGTACTGCCGATGCTCGTATGCCCAGGTTGGTGGCCTTGGACAAAACTCCCCGATACTCACCTGCCATTATATCTCGCTAACTTCGGCTCTCCTCTCCCCTTAATAGCCAAGTCCTCTGGATGCGCCGTCTCCGCGTCCTGAGGCGTCTTCTGGTCAAGTACCGCGATAATGGCAAGATCGACAAGCACCTCTACCACGAGCTCTACCACCTGAGCAAGGGTAACACTTTCAAGCACAAGCGCGCCCTTGTCGAGCACGTACGTACACTACTGGAGATGGGAAGATGGGAACCCCCCCCCCCCCCCCCCGCGATGATGGGGACGAGGCGTCGCACCAGCACCAGGAAACTAACAAAACTGCGAAAACTACAGATCCACAGGGCCAAGGCCGAGAAGGCCCGCGAGAAGGCGCTCAAGGAGGAGATGGATGCCAAACGTGCGAAGACCAAGGCTGCTCGTGAGCGCAAGTTGGAGAGGCAGGCGGCGAAGCGTAACGCCCTCATGGGCGAGGATGAGGAGGAGACCAAGTAAAAAAAAGGAAGGCTACATCTCGATCTCGGTCCTCGGGGCGGCTTTCGGAGTCATCGGGTTGGGTCATGTTTTTCTTTTTCTTTTTCCGTCCTACGTCGTCCCCAGGTGACTTGTGTGTAGGGCTTTGGCATGTAGCATTGGAACAAGAATGGCATGCTATGACATGAACACATGATGATTTGGCATGGCAGGCCAGCGTGGTTTTGGGGACAATGCGTTTTCTTGAATTACCGTGTTTTAACACAATACTTTCCAACTCCACCGGGAGGCCAGTTCACCATGACTCGTAATGTCCAATGCCTTTTCTCACCCACGAAATAGTGATATACAAGGCACATAGTATCATGTCAGAAGGACCAGCTATCCAGTTGCAGATCGCTCAACGGTGTCAATTGATAGAACAGGAAGACATGCAATGATAACAGGTAGGAAATGAAACTGATGGCAGCCAGGACGCCAGTGGCGTTTTCAAGGAATATTGCTGGTAGGAAATGAAACTAGAACAGATCAAATAAACGAATAGAACAAGTAGATCAACTAGATCTTGGATCAGATGGCTTCATATTGTCCCTAAAAGGTGGTGAGGTGCGCCGGGCCATGTCAACATGCACCCATCACCAGTGAAGGTAAAGGAGAGCAATCTCAAGAAGGCGTACTCGTCATCTCCAATTTAGTTGTGTGAGGAGAGGAAAAGGAGAAGCTTCTTGATACAGCCGACAAGCTGTCGCCTTTAAAGTACCTGTCTTGTGCCTGAGGCATAAATTCTATCCCGCCTAAAGTGGGGTAGCTGACCAAGTCTACGAATCGGTACTTTCTTTATATATGGCATCCCTCTCTAAGAATAAGGTACTTCGTAGAGCCACCAATTGGTGGTCTCAATCGCGTGGAACTGAGTAAGTCAGACCACACCAATCCGGCCCCCCCCTAGAAACGGCCCCCCAAACCACACCAAAAAAGGGGATTTCGTACCCTGTTCTTTTACTAACCGTAAAAGTTAACTAAATAAAATTAAGATATCAGGTAGATCGTTATAAGGTTATTATATATATACCTTTATTTTTTCTCTATACTAAAGCTATAAGCCGAAATTAGAGCTAGAAGTTCCTGTTAGTAATATCTAGTATTCTCTTAGTAAACCTTAACAGAGTAGAAAATTCTATAATAAATCTACAGGACTAAGATACTATAACTAGTATATATGAAAAGAATTCTAAGAGACTAGATAGTTTATATCTTAGGTTATAAGTCTATATAATATATTGGCTTTTAAGTTATTGAAGAAAGAATATTTCCCTTTGTAAACTTTACTATAGGGGAAACGTATTTCTAATATAGAAGATTAGATATAAATTATTTTATAACTATAACTTGACTTTTAAATAGCCCGTATTTTATAATCTTTTTTAGTATACACTACCTATAGGATCTTAGTATTATTAATTTATTATAGAATTTTCTACTTTGTTAAGGTTTACTAAGAAATTCTTAGATATGACTAACAGAAACTTCTAGCTTTAATTTCCGCTTATAGCTTTAGTATATAGAAAAAATAAAGTTATATATATAATAACCATATAACGATCTACCTAGTATCGTAATTTTATATAGTTACCTTTTATGGTTAGTGAAATAACAGGGGTATAAAATCCCCTTTTTTGGTGTGGTTTGGGGGCCGTTTCTAGGGGGGGGGGGCCGGATTGGTGTGGTCCGACTTACTGGCGCCATGGCTTTCAGACAGCACCTCTGCCCGAGACGGAGGAGGACGATGCTTTTTAGGGAGCATTGGTTGGAAATCGAAAGCGCGAGGGCGTGGTAAGGATAGACAAATCGTCCTCGCCTGTGGCTCCTAAGGACTTTACTGATCGGGATGTACGAAGTATGAAGCCTGCAAAGCAGGGAACCCGTCGACCTGGAGCATCCGTCCGAGGACTGCCCGTACCCGGGCGGCGTAAAGCAGGCACAATTGGGTTTATCAAATGTTAGACGTATGGGCGACAGGAGCAGCGGGTAGTCGAAGAGGTTTGATGGAAAACTGTTTGCAAGGTGGGGTCCTAACTAAGGTTGTCAGGTAAAGCGTAGTCAAAATCACTGTAAGATGGGTCAAAATTGATTAAGGCAATTATGTATAATTGTAATTCTCTCCGACCGTCAGGGAAACGCTGCCACCGTATTTTATATAGTGCAGATTCTGTAAGCGTCTACCCGGATTATACTCTTAGTAATCCGGTCTATTATATAACCGAAAAGACTATAGTCTATTCGATATACCCCCTAATCGCCCTAAAACGTTAGTTAGGCGATTAAAGCTATTTATAACCGGTAGATATAACGGGTATACGGTCTATATAATCTCTTCGCTATAGCCGCCCTTAAATTCGTCCTCCAGGTCCTCTAAATACTCTATCCGGACTTCCTCTAGCTATTTTTACTATAGCCGTTCCCGTATATCTATTACTCTTACCTAGGACCTAAATATCTTAAATTTCTCGTCGTATAACGCCTTCGTTAATCCGTCTACAACTATTTCTGCGCTTATAACGTATATTACGAGTATTTACCCTTATTCTTTTACTTAACGTAACTAGTAGCCGTGGATATCGATATAGCGGAGGCGCGTTATTAATATGCTAATCTCTTAATTAACTAATCGGATCGTTTACTTATTATCGTATAAGATCCTTAATTCCGGATTATTAAATTCCACTCCTATACTAAGTAATAGACGTTATATAAAGATACCCTCTTTTACACCTTATACTAACGCTAATAGCTCTGCTTCCATTATTAACGTTATAACCGTATCCTGCTTATTAGCAGGCTATGCGATTATACCGCTAAATAAGCGTATCACGTACGCTTAACTACTCTTTCGATTAAGGGTAGTATCAGTAAACGAGGCGTTAGTATAGATCTTAATAGTATTACTACCCCTTAGTTCTAACGTAAACGATTAGCTATTAATTAGATAAAGGATTAGATAATCGGCGGCCTTATAGTATATAGGCCCTAAATTAATATTAAAACGGTATAGCCTTAATACTATAAAGGCAATATCTAGCCGCGATATTACTACTATATATAGTATAGATCCTATCTTCCGTTAATAGCTCTTAATCTTAGTCGAGGTCTCTAAATAAGGCAGTAGTTCTATAATCTTAATTAGGTGCGTTAGGCGATAGTTACTACTATACTTATTATTACTATTTAGCTTTAATAGGCGTTCTAACTTAGTAACGTAGTCGTGTTATAATACCTAGATTTTACGGACGACACGCTTACGAGTAACCTTAATACTAAGGAACCACTATAGAAGATCGCCATCATATAGGTTATAGTAGCGTTATAGGTTATTAATAGCCTGCTTTATCTACGCCTTATATTATTCCTTATAAGTAATAACGATATCATTAACGTAGAAGAATAGGATTAAACCGCGGCGTAGAAATTAACACGGTTCCTACGGTATTATCTAGAAACCGTCCGCTAAAAGGATAGCCGAAAAGTGCTTTTACTAAAGTAGTAAGGACTCCTTACGTCTATATAATGCCTTTTTTAGGTATAGACGACTCCTAGGGGCTAGGAAGCCTAGCGGCGGGTATATAAAGATATCGTGGGGGAGAGGCGCGTATATAAACGCGTTTATAACGTCGAATTATAATAGCGTAAGGTTAAATCGGGCGGCGATAGCTATTAACGCGCGGAATAACTATCCGGGTAGTATTACTACGTATATCTTCTCGAGCGAGGATTAATACTACTAATCTCCTCGCACTATAAGCCTTACCTTATATTTATATACAAACCTATACTTATCGAACTTATATATTATCACCTATATCGAATTAAGAATATAATATCTATCTACTATAAACACCGGCACCCGTATCTATAACCCTATCTCCTTATAGCTTTATAGGTAGTCCTCTTATACTTATCGGAATAGGTAGCCGTAAGGGTATAAGGGTATCTCGCGAGGGTTCTTCGGAGGAGGAGGGAGGTCTTTATAGTGGATCTTTACGGCCGCCGGGGTAACCGCCGGAGTACCCGCTAGAGTAACTACCGGGGTTATATTTCCCGAGATAGCCTCCCGGGTTATACTTCCGGTAGCTACCGCCGGGGCTGTGGATTTATAGGGTATCGTTAAGCGTCGTTATAGCACTATAGGCGTGGACCTTTTTAACCGTATTTTAATTAGCGGAGTCCTATTCAATATATATATATTAGGCGTATAGCGGCTAGCGTTAAATGTAGTAACCTAATCTTCTCTTTACCGGCTATCTCCTTACTGATATAGGCGGGCTCCTCTTTCTATACGGAGCCCTATAGGTATTACTATAAAGGAATCGCTATATCGTATTCCTCTTTCTATAAGGAACCCCGCTAGCGTAAGGGAATCACAATTTCCTAATATCACGGCTACTATAAGCGCTATAACCGATAGTGGGGTTAATAATAAAGTAGGAAGTAGTGGATTAAGCAAATATAAACGGTGATTAGGCGCTATACTAGCTAAATCACACTATATATAACCTATATCTTATCCATTTAGACTTAAGATAGCCTCCAATACCCCTTTACGGATAGGAGCTATAGACTATAACCTTAACGGCAACGCCGTTAAGGAAAGGGATCCGGGGGTAACTAGCCCTAGTAAGGGTAAGGGCAGGGGTATATTAAGCTTAAAATAAGCAGTTATATAAAGGGGGAGGGGGTCCTTAGCTTATACGTCTATAAACGGCTATAAATCTCGAGCCCTGTCGTATTTAATCTAACTAATCAGGTCTTTTAGTTACTTCTCTATTAATTACTAGAGGTTATCCTTAAAGATGGCGATATCGCCGTTAAAAAAGCCGTGTTCGTTAAAATTTATATCGTGTATTTATCGCACGTCAAATAGCACTTGGATAATCAATTTAGTAGAGCAGAAATCTCGTGTGTGTGTATTCTATTAAGTTACGTCTGTGTAAGTCTCTTCTGCCCTTAATTTAGGTGGTGAAGAC